GGCAAAGGTTAAAAGAAACTGACCTAAGAAGGGACAGAAAACGTATTAGTATGCTTTCTGGTACGTCAAAATTAGTCGTCCTCATCCTCGTCCTCCTCCTCCTCGTCGTCCTCCTCCTCCACCTCCACCACCACCACATTACTCATAGACCATATGAAGATACAAAGAAATATGAAATGGAAAACAAAATCTAATGTTACAGAAGTGACAGCAATCTCATTTTGGTGGGATCAGTTTAGAATTAGGTAATGTTTTACTTAATTAATGCCCCTTGGAAAGAACTGGGAGTGATTTTCCATAATTTTAAACATACTTGAAGCATCTCCATCTCTAATTTTAAACATACCTTGAGCATCTCCATCTCTAAATCTTCATCACTCTCAATTATGTAAGATGTATCCTCTTCATTATCCTTGGAAGACAAATGCTTTTTTTAACGAAATTGTATTTCAAACATTAATTTCCAGTAATAATTGACTCCATACCCTCTTTTGTGCAAAATAAGGCTTCTATGCACTAAATATCTTTAGACCATTTCCTATTCTTCTCTATACATAAATTTATAATACATGCTTATATGTTTCTATGATGGGTAGACAGAAAGAAAAGGAGAGAGAATGGTCAGGAGGGAAAAAGGGAAGGAGGAATAAACACAAAAACAAAGAAAGAAACAAAGAACCAAATAAAAAGACAAAGAAATACAATTGGGAAGATAAACAAGATAGATAAACAGACTTAAAGCCCACACTCTCTAAATGAGAGGACATGGTGACAAGTTCAGCTAGGGTTTAAAAATCTCAAACTGTGTTTCCCAAACTTCTTGAGAACAAGAACTTCTCTGCAGTATTGAAAAATTCTATACAAAGCCAGGAACAATAGGTGTTCTTTTACATCCACAGATTTTTAAAAATCACAAAAAGCTACTGTGATTATAATTAGTACCTTTAAATAAACTGCTATTTTACAAATAGTATCTACATGTATTTGAAAAACAGGGTCAGATAAGTTACTTATTCAGCTATTGCCAATGTTTGGATATGAGGAAACTACAATAATTTGGAAATCCCCAGGAACCAAGTATCTAACAAGGTAAGAATTTGCATAAAAGAAACCCACAAAAAGGAAAAAAAAGAATCCAAAACAAAGTCCAATCTTTAAATTGGAAGTAGGAAAATGAAGTACAGCCTTAAATAACTTGTAAAAATTAAGCTTTAAAAAAAAGATTTTAAAATAAGTTTTATACAGGGAAAGAAAAATTCTTTTATTTTTAAAATGAGGTCTTTAATTTTTATGAGCTAATAACCATTATAAAATAAAAAATGGCAATCATTGGAGTAAAAGATGTAAGTCAGATCATGAAATCCTGATCATATTTCTGTATCATTATATGAACCATATCACTTTTAAAGTAAATACCTAATGGGAAATTTCCAAAAAATCAAAAGGTAATGCAGGCATTAACAAAAGATATTTCCCAAAAGGGGAATCTGTTTTACAAATGGTTGGTATGAAAATAGTTTGAAAACAATGTAAAAATAAAATGCATTTATATACTGATAGAAGTGATTGCTAATATAGTTACCATACATACCATAGAGAAATACTGAGACTTGGCCTTAGAGAACTGAGGAAATAATCCTATTAAATGACTTTCAAATCTAATTTTTAAAAATTTAAAACTTAGTTATTATAAAAGAAAATTTATAAAATTCTACCAAATATAGGCAAGACAGGTAAATTTTTAAGTTAATAAAAACAACTGAGATAGAAAGTATACAGCTATATATGTCTCTTTTTGTATTCACAATATAAGAAATGAGTCCTCCAATACAAATTTACTATTTCAAAATATATGCTTAATTTAGCCAGCAGAAAAACATAATGTCACAAATTAAACTACTCAAATCATAACATAATAATTAGAAATCTAAACATGAAGTTGAGAGAAAATATGGAAAGTTTACCAGTAATCTATTAAGAAAAAAATATAGGTTACTGACTCTCCAGGTGACAGTAAAGGTTAGTGTCAAGCGAAACATCAGTTTATCAGAAACCCTCACAATAGCGAGTAAAGAAAATCCATATGAAGAAATAAAACTATTCTCAAAAATTAAATATAGAAGAGTAAACACTAGTAGGTATGTAGGGAATCCACAAAAAGAAGAGGTATTAGGTGAAAAGCAAGAGAAATGCTAAGCAAATTATAAAAATTGTGTACTGACACTAAAATCTTTCTGCTATAAAATGCTGCTTATCATAATTACTCAGAGTAGCAAACTCCAGCTCACAAGCCAAACCCAGCCCACCTTTTGCTTTCGTAAACAAAGTTTTATTGAAACTCAGACAGGCTGTCTGTAACTGCTTTCACAATGAACTGGCAGAACTGAGTAGTTACAACAGAAACTGTATGGTCTGCAAAGCCTAAAATATTTACTATCTGCCCCTCTACAGAAAAAAACCAGCTAACCACCACTAGTAAATGAAACTGTTTCCTCTTTATTTAGTACCTCAGGAGACTTGCAAGTAACATCACTGAGATATTTTTCCTGAGCCTGTTGTTCCAAAAGTTGGAGTTCAGCTTCTGTAATATCTAACGAGTTCAAACAAATTCTTTCTGTATTCTCTTTCAACTTATTGTCTTCTAGTCCATCTTCAAATCCATCTTCTTGTCTCACTTCATTTCCAAGTACATTTTCCCCATCATTTTCAATTAAATTATCCGGTGTCATATCCCATGACTCATCTTTAACTGTAGTTAAAATTTTATGTTCTCTAATTTGTTCCTGCTGTACTTCACCAGCAGCTGGATCTTCCAGTTGTAATAAATGAAAACTACTGCTAGGCCTCAGTTCATTCTCAGTAGAACCAAGTATCATCTTCCTCAATGAACACAGATTTTCTGAAATATACTTCAATAGCATAGAAACCCTAAAAACAAAATTTAAGAAAAGTTAATTCAACTGTAATTGTGTTAACCCTAAAGACAAGTATTAATGCTTTTTACCAAGCAGCTTTCTAAACTGACCTTCACTTAAAGAACACATTGGATTAAAGTTGCTCTTCATACTTTAATACCCACTATATGCTTACAGCTCCCGGGCTGCTCCCGAGTACAGCAAGATACTTCTATATTCAACAGTTGACTTGCATGCTTACTAAGTGTCAGTAGTATTTGGTCCCAAACTAATTGCTTATGCCAATTATACTTTTTATGGTTATTAATTTTATTAAATGTATCAAATTGATGACACATAACCACAAACACACACACACACACAAAACCACTATTTCACTGAATTCTTAGTTGAGCAAGTGGAAAAGCTTAGCAAATTTCCTTTTGAAAAAAGTTCTGATTAACTACAGTTAAAATAACTGAAAAGTTTGTAAGAAAAATCTTTAAAATTCCTCAGACTCTACATTCAGATTGCTCCAAGTGTCTTAAATTTTCACTCCACTTTAAAGAAACTGAAACCAGAAACTGAAACCAGAAACCGTAGATGATATTTTGTGTGTGCACTTTAAACAAGAAACACTCTGAAAACTCCAAACAGCAGGCCTATATTTAATTAAAAAGCCATGGGAACAAGATACACATTCATAAATTAAGTTAAAAGAAAAATTTTATAACCCCAGGTTTTACTTAACATTTTCAATTTACTGATCAATTACTAGTGCCAACTGTAACACATAAGAATAGTTATGTTATAATTCAAAAACAGTGCTGTTTTGCATCTTCAAAAATCTCAAAACTAGACACGTATTCTTTGGAAAAGGAAAAAAAAATCTCCTAACTGTGGGCAAACACAACAATTGAGAAAATATGGAGAAGTATGTGAATGAACATGAACTGATTTCTTAACTCCTAAATTATAGTTGCTAATATAACATTTTAACTAAGTGACTATATTAAAACGGCTATATTATATCCAAACCCGGTTAACTGGAAAGGAAAACCACTGCTAGAGTGCAAAATGAGGCATATTATCTCAAATCAGGGTTTATTAAAGCAATTTTTAGTTACTTCACAAAAGTAAAAACTAGAAGGAGAAAAGGGCCTATGATGTGCAAAGAGATATGTTTTACTATTTAACCAATGATTTTGTTTAGCTCTTCTAATTTTTCCGTATTCAATACTTAATAAAATGTGACATGACCTTTAAAGTTTTATATTAATGATTCAAATAAAAATTTGATCATTCATGGGAATAAACTATCAAGTGTTGAGTCATTCATGAGTTATTTCCACACCAAAAACAGCACCATTAACAGTACTCCAAAATCGAGCTCAAGCTTAAGCTGACAAAGTCTATATCAATACAAACAAAAGCAAAAGCAAAAGCAAAATTAAATTCAAAATAAAAACTCACTAATTCTAACATTCTAAAGTTCTTCAAATCTTATAAAGAACATTTAGCACTCTACACAGGTATTCAAATATAAGAACTGCATGTAAATACTTTAGTAGGAACAGACATGTGACATAGCTTAATTGTTAAATGCACAGGGAATGCTGTAACAACTAAACATAGCAACAATGACTCATGGTTTAACCAACAAGACTCTTTAAGGGCTTATTTCTCTTGCACTAACATCAGAGAATGACATGTTTCATTAAGTTAACTATTAGCTCTATAAAATATCAAAGGCTGTCCTGCCTTCCTTAGTAAGGCATAATGCACTTTTCCTTCTTTATTAGAATTGTCATTATGTATATTAGCAACCTGCAGATACCTTAGCACCCAGCAGAATGACGAGTACGTATCAGCAATACAACAGATATGTACTTAGCTTAAATCAATGACTAAGTAGTATCCTATACTCTCCAAGTCCACTGATGCGTAAAGCTGTTCCCTTCTGTAACAAACCTCAAACTGCTCTATTTTAAGAGCTGTAAAGTCTAGTTTTTATAGTTTTATCCGTTTCTTCATGGATTGCCAACTGTAACTTTCAGCTGGTGTCATTCTTTATCCATACCTGGTTTTCATGTTAAGCAGATATCCAAGCTTGTCAAACTATTTCTATAAACAAAAAGCAAATAAGCTCTGAATGTAGCCTCATGCACTCACTCCACTGGAAATGCAGTTAAGTGAGCCTGAATTCACGCTTATGGCATGTATTTTCGCTGTTCGGAGGCCTTTTTTGCTCTCCCCTGGTTCAGAGGTGTAATCTAAATAAGTGAAGTATAACTGTAGACTTGTTACAAAGAACCTGAAATAACAGCTTTAACTAGTTCTTGTTTTGACACTAAAATTTTACAAGATCTACCTTTATTAAAAATGAATCCAGTATTTCTCATTCTCAAACTTTAAGAAAACCCATTTAGCTTTGATATTACAAAACAAAGCATTAAGCATATGTAAACTTATATCCAATAGACATTTTAATTCCTAGAAAAAATCTGAAATGCATGTGAACAGTAATTTTTCACATAAATGGTGATTCTTCTTTCATGGAGGAAAAAATGTAAAAATTAATATGAAATAGCTTTATCAGTACCCTTCCCCATTTGACAGTTCTTTCAGAAATTCTCAAAGTTACATAGAAACCACTAAAACAAACTGCTAGGGGAAAAATCACTTTGAAAAAGAGCTGAATTTCTATCTCACACTTTGAAATCTCTCAATCAAAATATATCACAAATCTCATCCAAAAAAGGAATACATTAACATTGCATGCTGCAGAATTCTATTTCAACTAACTGCTTCACATTTCTACAAAGGATTTTTGCCTCAAAATTCTATGTCCACATTGTAATCATTCAGCATTCAAGAGCACTCTTGCTTTTAGAGGTTCGCTAAGAGAGTTATTCAGCAATTAAGGGTCGGGCAAGGCCTGGTTCCAAGAAGAGTTGGCTACTAGGCATCAATAGTCCAACGTCTATTAATCCAAATATTTCAAGTTATCTAATGCTTTAGCTATAAAGTAATCTTTAAAATCTGAGTGCCTCTTGTTCTAATAGCCTATTTGGTAGAATTCTTATGTAATATCAGATAATAATCAGAAAAACGAGGCTATCCAGTTTAAAAAGTTGCTTTTATTTATAGATTTCAAGTAACCAAACTATAAATATAATTAAATGAAAGATGCCCATAGACAGAAATAAAAAGACAATTTAAAACCTTAAGTATTTTCCTTCATGTGTCCTTAAGAACTTTATTGTGCTTTGCTTCATAAAATACCCTACAAAGCAGACAGAAAAGCCTTAAACTTTTTGATGCACAACTGAATAACTGGAAAGATATTTATTTATGAAGCATACTCATTAGTCTTTGTGTGTGTATTCAAGCACATACATGAGTCTACCTTAACGAACAGTAATTACCCATACATAGGAAAATGCATAAGAACAAGTACAATTGACAAAAACAGGTAACATCTAACCTCTGTGGATTTTTCAGTTTTCCCAAAGTGTCAGGAAGATGCTTAGCCAGATCCATCATTTCCTCAGAAAACGAAGTCAACTGTTTCTTCAGACCACTAAGTAGTACTTTCTCCTCTGGAAAAAAAAAGAATCAACACTAATTTTCCAACCACAAAGCAGAGACACTCATTTAAACAGCATCAGGGCTTAAATTTTCATTTTCTTTCTTTAAGTGAATTCCAACAAAAAGACTTCCTTAACCTATCTCCAAATCACCTCAAGTCACTTTACGTCTCTTCCAAATTTCTGCTCTTAAATTTTAGAAAAAATTCTAAGTGATCTCTATTAATACATACTACAACCCAGTGGTTTTCAAACCGAGGCAGGAGAAGGTAGAAGTGAGAATCTGAGCCCACCTGCACTATTTCAAAGTCAAAAATCAATATAACACCATGCGTGTGGCTACTTATTAAATACAGTTTGCTAAATATAACCTTACCTGACAGCCGTTTCTCACTGCCCTCATTACCAGTCATCACAAAATAAGATGCAAGCCTTTCTAATCAGTCATCATCTTCCAAACACTCAACTTCATTGTCTGATGGTGTCTCCATCAATACCACAAAACCTGCCCTCCTTCCCCAAACCCTTTCCCTGCTTAGAATTTCTTATGATTCATCACCACTTCTCTTGTCCTCAAACGAGTCCAGCTTCTCGGAAGCACGTGACATAGGATTAAACCATCGGCTACTCCTGACTGCTGCAGTTACCCTGTGATCTCAAAATCGCATCCTTTCATTCGTTGAAGATTGTAGTGTCTTGTTCACTGTCTTTCCCTTTCCTACTACTCCTGTGATAATTCCTGGTGTGTCAACATTCAGAGAGATGTGCCATCTAAGACTGCGTCCTTTTCATTTCCTCAATCATTTCTTTATTTGGGTCCTCTCTTTTTTCTTCTTGGTGAGCCTGGCCAGAGGTCTGTCAATTTTGTTTACTTTTTCAAAACAGTAGTTCTTGGTTTTATTGATTTTTTTAATCTTTATTTCCTCTTTGATCTATATTATTTCCTTCCTTCTGCTTTAGGTTTTGTTTGTTCCTCTTTTTCTAATTCTTCAAGTTGGTAAGTTAGGTTGTTTATCTGAGATCTTTCTTATTTATTGAGGAAGGCCTGAATTGCTATGAACTTCCCTCTTAGGGCTGCTTGTGCTGCATTTCATAGATTTTTGGGCCTCTTGTTTGTTTATTCCATTCACTCTTTATTTTATCCTATCCAGTTTAACTACCATCTGTATGCTGACAATCCCCAGTTACATCTCTAACCTCAGCCTTTCCCCAAGCTCCAGAATCATCTTTCCAACTAAGATAACTTCTTGGCTATGAATAAGCATCTAAAATTCAGCATGTCCAAAACTGAAATCTAGGTTTGTCTCACCCAAGAACCTGCTCTTCCCATAATCTTTCCCCTGTAACTGACCCTTCCATTCGCTCAGCGGATCCAACCAAAATATCCTGATTATTCTCTCAGTCTCTCCATCTCACCCCCTGCAGAGAATTCATCAGCAAATATATACAAGATCTACCACTTCTCACTGCCTCTGTTGCTACCAACCTAATCCAAAAAATTATTCTCTCTTGCCTGGGCTATTATACTAGCCTCCTGACTGACTTCCGTGTCTAAACACTTGCCCTCTTACAGCAGCCACGAAGATCCTTTTAAAACAAAAGTTTAATCACATTATTCCACTGTTCCAAATCCTATAAGGATTTCCCATGACTCATCATTGTATTTATTTTAATTAGTAAAATATGAAGTCAGATTCACTGCCTGTAAGGCCCTAACTGATCTGGCCCAAGCTACTTTTCTGGCCTCAATTCCTGTTCCTCTCGCCCTTACTCATTTCACCTCAGTTATATTCACTGTTCCTCAAACAGGCTATGCTCTCTCTTCCTCCAGCCCTCTATGTTCTCCCCGGGGCATCCATGTGGCTCATTCCCTCACTCAGTCAAACGAAGTGAAGGGGCTTGGTCTACTTCATTCATTCTGCTGCACTTTCCCCAGCAAGTGGAACAGTGCCTGACCCATAATAAATACCCCCAAATATGTTATGTGAATAAATGAATATTCCCTTTCCAAACCAAGCTTTAAAAAAAAAGTTATTTACAGGTGCTTTCTCACTTTCCTTAGATCTAGCTTAGTCCTCTATTCATGTCAATATGATTTCCACCCACCTCACGCCACTACTCCACCCTTGCTTACAGTTATAGCACCTTCAGTTACCAAAGCCTGTGACCCTTTTTTTGTGCCCCGATGACCACTCTCTCCTCAAACGCAGCACTGCAACAACAGGTACCAGGACTTGTAAATATTTGTTACTTTAGTGAGAAATACCTTAAACATTCCTCAGAAGCATTTTCACAAGAGACAAAATTGTAAGTGTAACCCACAAGCAATTCTGTAAACCACAAAATCAGAAAATCATGAATTCCCCTCTGTTGAATTTAGTTCTCTAGATCAGCTTCAAAAACACACCATCTGCCTCAGTTAATCAAGATAATTTCTAGCCACAGCGCCTTTGGCTACAGAGGGTCAGCAGGCACTCCAGGGAGAGAAAGTGTAAGAAATCGTCCTGAACATGTTAGAGAAGGAAAGGCTCCCACAGAGGGTGTGGATTCCTTCTCAATACAACCATAAAGGGGATCATGTAATTTTATATAAGGAGGACATGCCATATTTTTAAGTTTATTTAGCAAAATCACCTTATTTAACACCTTAACAAACACAATTACTTAAAACCTCCAAAAGGAAGCTACAAGAATAATAATAACAACTCTATGCAGACCAATATAGGTGCTTTGAATACGGTGTCCCTTTTAGTGCTAACAACTATTCTATGAAATAGGTATTATGCCATCACTCACATTTCAAACATAAGGAAACAGGTAAAGTCCAGGTCACATGGCTAGGACCTTACCCCTGGCCTATGTGACACGGAAGTCTGGGCTCTCTCACTCCATTCTGTAAACCTGCTGTCACTGACTATCAAGAGATCCGAGAACTGGAGTTGAATACAGTGGCCATTCTTTTTGGAGAAAAACAGCGGAGTTCTTGAGAAAATTTAGAAATTTAAAACAAGGCACTATAAAGCATCTTACACACTTTAAGTATTTATAGCAAAGATGTACAATCGCCAGGCTGGGAGGTGGCTGGTTGCATCATTGTTGCTATCAAAGCCACAAAGCCCCAGTTCTAGAAGCCTCATGAACAGCAATGCTACAAAGGAAAAGTCAGCCCTGCTTCGCCACAACTAACATGACTGAAGCCCTATGCTCTGGCCAAAAAGACTTCACCCTCATGTCAGCACTGCTCAGACTCTCAACAAGGTGTAATAATGCTAAATACTTCACACATGTGTGAACATTGTCTTTTTGGAGGTGAACCTCACAAATGAGCGAACTCAAATTTGATCTTTTATTTTCAGATCATAACATACCTTTAGTTATAGCAAATATTTGTACGGCATCACCCAAAATTTCTAATTTTTGATAAATGATGAGACCAGCCTATAAGAAAACAGAAGAAGAGAAAAGCATACTAAAGATCACCAAAATAAAATTTGATGTCCATCTTTATAAAAATCCAAAATAATGATTCCCAAAGAGCCCAAAAAGCTGAATTCAATGTATTAAGTTACACAAACATCTAAATGTCATCATTTATTCACCATACCAATTGTGAGACAGAGAAACAGCTGTCTATATCTTAAAAGTATTCACATTTTAACATCCAATATCATGAGCAAATCAAATACCTTAACAAAAGACAACTGAGTAAGGGAAAAGTTTGACTATAGATATCCATGCCCCATTATGTCACTAAAGCAGCTTTAAGTCAGTATATAAATAGTCCTCCTTCTAGGTGTTGTTAATAGGAACAATCAAGTCACACTGATTGTTCATGAATAAAAATGCTACAGAACTCACAGTAGTTTTCAACCAGTTTTATGACTTTTTTTAAACAGAACATAAAAGAAAATTATCAATTTATTTCCCGACAAGTTGAATTTTCTCCTAATTATAAAAGGAGCTTCCATTCCTAAAAACAAGTGCAAAACAAGAAACAAGACATTCATCTACAAATAAAAGTATGAATTAGGGAAAAATAAGTCTACTGGGATATAAAATATATTTCTTGAAAAAAAAATTACAGCTCTATAAATTTAGATAAGCCCAGATTTCACTATGTACAAATATGTAAACATAAAAATACAACATAAAAATTTGACTAACAGCAGCGGAAAGCTAACTATGGAGGCCCCCTTTCTCAAATTTTCCCACATTTTAAATATAAACAGAAGAAATAAGGACAGTTTCAAAATAGAAACTGTCTCATAGTTATTTTTACTCTGAAGTTGCTTATAATCAAATACATCATCAATATTGCTTGCGCTTAGTCAGAGCTTATTATTATTAGCCTTTCACGTTTCCAAAGAACACACATTTTTTACATACAAATTGGACACTGTTTTTGGCTTCATGACAATAAAAATGACTAGCTTTGAACAATCTGTTGATTGGTTCTTGCTAATTAATATTTAGAATTAACAGAATTTCTCTAAATTTCTTCCTAAGTATTTTTTATGCCAAACTGATTTAAAATATTTCAGTTGAGTCTGTGCTGCTACCACAGGAAGATTTTTGTGAAGTAATTTATTATGAAGTTGAGAAAAATACATCATGGTCTGAAGGTCTTGGGTACCTACATAAGCATCAGTGGCGGCGTACAGTTTCTGGTCCTCGGTGAGGGGAAAGTTACTCCAATTGCTACAGCGAACAGACTTATCTTTCAGAAGCTGTTTGCCGAAGAGGTGTTTAACCAAACCATTGAGGCTCCAGGTCTCTGTACTTTTCAGCTGGGAGTAATGAAAAAAATCAACTCAGCAAAAATTAGTTTCATTTTCAGACATTCCTAAATATCTGATACTAAATGAGCATGTCACACATAAAGATGGAAATGTTATACCAACATGAGGCAGAGATAGTCCTTCATAGATTTCCTGTCACTAAAAACCTCATTTGCAATCCACACTGTAAGAATTTAATTCTGGAATTTCCCCAATGTAGGAATTAAAATTCTTGGACTGTAGAAGCTTTGTTCATGGACAAAAGATGAATAGGTTGGTCAGTTTTCTACTTCTCAGCCAAATGAACACTTGGGTAATATGAGAATTTAACTTAATGATGACATTAATGAAATATGTAAAATGCGGGTGATGGAAGTGATGGGCAAACTTCCACTAAGCGCATCATACCACAAGAGCTGCATTATGCTCTTTAAAAAAAAAAGGTATTGATATAGATGGATTAAAGAGATTTAAATTTGCAAAACAGTATTTAGATTTGCAAATATATGAAACAAAGTGAAACACTACTAAATAGGGGAGGAGGTGCTTGCTTAAAGAAACTATTTGCTAAGGCAATGGATTGGAACTGAAGGTTTTTGTTATGGAATACTCATTTGGGACTTCTTTTTTACAGAAACGTTATACAACTTAAATTATGTTTTCAGAAAAATCTAACATTCAGAAAAAAGGGACATTCTGTGAAACACAAATTTATCTTGTTTATGAAAATAAAATATGTATTATGTCTACCTTTTCATTGGCAACATCTGTCAGCTCCACAAAACTCTTCAATTTGATGTCAAAGTCACGTAGAAGTTTCCACTGATCTCCTTCAATTCCTACACCTGCCTTTTTAATTGCTTCATTTTCCAGCAACATCTTTAATCCTTGAGGAAAACCTGTAACATTTTATTTCCATAGGTTCTATCAAATATGATGGATTTATTTTCTACTTCTTAACATTCTATATTTATATTTAAATTTGTGTTTAAGTTTAAATTCAGAAACACGCTTACCACGAGTGTTTCTTTTCTTACCTGAAGCAAAAAGTACTGATTGAGAAACGCTAAGAAAAAAAGCTAATTTGAATTCTACTGCAGCTAACGCTAACAGGATATTCCTGGTCACTTAACCCCTCAACACTTAATTCTCTACTCTCCAAAATAGGAATAGTATCAAAGCCTGACAGAGATGATGTCTAAATTAAATAGAATAGAGATATGGTGATTCAGCTAGGACATAAATAATTAAATAAACATAAAGTGATGAGAAAAGCAGCAGCTAATTCGAGAGCCTAATTTTATATAAAGCTAATGTAATACAATCATCTACCAAATAAAAACGAAATAAAGAGAGATACCAACCAGACATAGAAGAAATATGAAACAAGTAACATTTGCTCTCTGACACACACAACTGAATTAGTGCAACTCTGCTCAGTTGCCCTTTTTTAAACACTGGTGGCCATTCCATGTCAAATCCCACCACATCTCCATCAGACAGACTGGTGCTAAAGGGGGAAAAAAATAGTATAAATTAATTATATTAAAATTTTATCTTCTGCATAACTGACAACAGCATTCACAAAGTTAAAAGACAAGCCAAAGAGACACAACTGATATGAATAGTCAGAAAATATTAAAAATTTTTTTGAAAACTCAGTAAGAAAATGAGAAATAACCAGTAAAAAAAAGAGAAATATGAACAAGAAATTCCCAAAAGGAAATTCAAATAGCCAATAACTCCAAATAAATATATGAAGACATGAAATCTCAACAGAAATTAGAGAAATGTAAAATTACTCCATACAATTTCACATCTGACTGGCAAAAACTAAAGCCTCACAATATCAAATGCTGAGGTTATCTACCAATGGGACCACTCCCTGGGGAATATTTAGACTGGTTAAATCCTCTTGGAAAAAACTTTTGACAAAATCTAGCTGAAGATGTATAAACATTATGACCTGGCAAGTCTTTCTCATCAGTATATGAAACTCTCACATGTGTACAACTAGACAGAAATATTTAAGAATATTCATTGTAATACTGTTCCTTCTGGCAAAAATGGCAACAAATTACATTTCCATCAACAAAAGAATGAACAAATTGTGACATATTGAAACAATGGGATATTATATAAAAGTTAAAACAGAACTTCACATACCAAACCAAAAGAAAAATTCTCAAGAACATAAAATGTTGAGTGAAAAAGACAAGGTGCAGAATATACATATAGTTTGACAGTTTTTTTAAAACTTCTAAATGGGCAAAATAACAGTATATGATATTTTGAGATATAAAATTATGAATATTGTAGAAGACATCTGAGGGACTGCTGAATACTGAACTCATGACAGAAGTTTTCCCAGAGGACTGCAGACGGGAGAATCAAAAAGAGGATACATGGGGCTTCAGCTGTATTTTATTTGATGTCTTAATAAAGATTTAAAGAAAATGAGTATTAAATGGGGGGAGGGTACAGCTCAGTGGTAGAGTACATGTCTAGCATGCACAACATCTTGGGTTCAACCGCCCCAGAACTGACATTAAAAATAATAAATAAACCTAATTACCTCCCCCAAAATAAAAGTAAAAAGTAAAATTTTAAAAAGTAAATCTCATTAAAAAAAAGAAAAAAAGAAAATGATTATTAAGATTTGATAAAGCTAGTGGGAGGAATATGAGTACTTGTTATATTATTGTTTATATTTACGTATTTCACAATTTTTAAAAATTAAACATATATTTTAAAAACTTTTTAAAGCTCAACTTCTGCTTTGGGCCAAGACGAAAAATAGTGATCAGACATACCTTTTCCTCCACGGACAAACAGAAAATTGGACAAAATACATAAACAAGTTTTCAGACACTAGACAATAGACAGTACTGGAATACGCTCTCTGAGGGAAGGGAAACAAAGGGTGAGCCCTACTGCTGTCCCAGCTTTCTGCCTAGAACATCCCAGACAACAGAACAAGGAGCAGGATCCAGAGCAGAGCACCGAGCTGGCGAGAGACGTCAGAACCAGAGAGGGTGAGGCAGCTGGAAGTTGTGGGTAGAGTCCTGGACAGGCAGGAGCTAGGCAGGTAAGGACACGTGATCATACAGTGAAACTATGAGGCTGGACAAAGACCAACCGGGGCACTGTAAACTGAAAGATTCCTTATACAGAGGCAGGAGGCATTAAAGTTCTGAAAAGTCAGAACAGAGATTCTTGCTGATCACCTGGGGTAGCCAGCAAAGACTCCAGAAAGGTCACACCTTATCATGGGGATAGATTATGCCCAGAGTAAAGGCTACTGTAGATTTGCCCTAATAAAGCTTAAAAATAATCCTCAAAATGTAAAACTGATCTTCAGGTAACTTAACTGACTGACAGAGCAAAGCTCCTTTCTTTGAAAGAAGACAACAAAATCTAAAATTTAATAAAGAAAAATCACAACAACCAATCAAACATCGCCAGCCATGAGAAAATAATAGGAAAACATGATTCATAAGCAGGATAAAAATCATTTCATAGAAAAAATAATAATAACTAGCACAATGAAATTAACAAAGACAGTAAAACAGCTATTATAAATAAGCTTCATCTTTATTAATTTTTTTTAAATTTTCTTGGGGGCGGAGATAATTAGGTTTCTTTATTTATTTTAATGGAGGTACTGGGGATTGAACCCAGGACCTCGTGCATGCTAAGCAGGCACTCTACCCCTAAGCTATACCCTTAAATAACCTGAATATGTTCAAAGATTAAAACATGAATATGATATGAGCCAAAAAGGAAGATTTTTTTTTAAAAGAAACAAATGGAACTTCTAGAGGTGAAAAATACAATAAAATTTAAAATTCACAAGATGGGACAACAGCCGATCAGACACTACAGAAGAAAGACTAAATAAGTGAACTTGCAGACATAGCCAAAGAAACTATCCAAACTGAAGCACAGAGAGAAAAAAGAATGAAAAAAAAAATTTTTTAGACTGAAAGAGAGCCTTATACAATACAGTATCATGCAATCTAACTTACATGCATTGAGAGCGTCAAAAGGAAAAGAGAATAACAGGATGAGAGAAAATACATTTGAAGAAATTGTTCAAATTTGATGAAACTGTAAACCCACAGATCCAAAAAGCTTACTGAACCCCCAAGCAAGATAAACACAAACAATACTACACAAAGGCACATCATAATCAAATTGCTGAAAACCTGTAATAGCAAAAATCTCTAAAGTGGCCATAGGAGGTAGGGAAAAAGTTTGCCTGCCTTCCATAATAACACACAATTCATCAAAACTATACTCTTCAAGGAGGGTGGGTATAGCTCAGAGGTGGAGCGCATGCTTAGCATGCAGGAGGTCCCGGGGTTCAATCGCCAGTACTTCCATCAAAAATTAAATAAATTAATAAACCTAATTACCTCCCCTACCCCCAAAAACTAGAAATTAAAAAAAAAACATACTATTCAAAACACTTATGCTTACTGCCTTCAGACAGGACATACTGTCAAAGTAAGACAGTGAAGTTAACACATAATCATAAATAACAGATTTTACCTACTCTGTGAGACAAGCTGAGTTCTGCTTAACGAGACTCAAAAGGAGCCAGATAACTATAGCAGGAGTGAGGACAACTGAATGCTATTTCTAGAATACATTTACCAGAAGACGATTAATAAATAACTTACCACTGCTTCTTTTAAGCCAATGTGTAGTAGTATTAAAAAAAAAAGATGATTATAACAACTTCAAGGAAGATGTGAATAAATTCCCTACTACTTCTTATAAAATGCTTCAAGAGCCTTATATTTCACTATTGCAGAGTCCTAGTTTAACTAGACAATTTAAAAAATTTTAATAGTCATTTTTAATGTTCTTTTTAAGGATCATTTGCTATAATTGTTGCTAACTAAACATCACAGAGCCAATCACAACCATTATTCAGTAATACTATGCTGGTATTTTTAATTAAACGGAAAGAAGCATTTTAGAGGTTGAATAATTCTTGCATGTTTTTCTTAAACTGGTGAAACAAAGTGTTCAGTGGTTCTATATATAATATTTTAAGTATTGAAAAGTAAAAAATTATCTAAAGTAATAGAAAGGCTTGTGAATGAACAAACAGGTACATGATAAATTTAATTCAGTGATTGTTTTTATTTTAAAAGTAGAATTAGACTTTGTCAGTGATATTCTATACGTGTAAATAATTATCTGTTGAACACACCTCAACTGTAAAATTCAATACACTTAACAAATATTATCGTAACAGTTATCTTCTAAGGGTCCAAATTCAAATGAAAGTAGGAAATTTAAATCTTTACCTAATATCTTCTGATAGGAAAGAACAATCACTAGCTTCATAACTGTACACAATGGATCCAGTGAATTCTAAGAAGGGTAGATCATCTTCCAAAACACTCTTCTGAATAGATGTCTTGAGTTAAACAAAATTCCAAAAAGGCACAAATAAAATTCACATTAAATAATAAATGTTCCTTGAAATAATAAAGTTCACAGAAGCTTGCAAAGAATAGTTCTAAGTTTTATCAACTGATGCCTTATAGACTAGTAAGTCACATGGACAATGGAACAAAGATAAAGCCAACAATTATAAAATTATTTTTCTAACAAATTTATTTGCAAACTTCTAATCTTATCTTCATAAAGGCATTTATGTTATTAAATTTTTTCTTCAATTATATTCGTATTCTGGATGTAATAATGCTGCGTTAAAATGCTGAAAAATGGTTGGTGAGCTGTAAGGCTAAAAAGACTTAAAACTCTCTTAACCATAAAAATTCACCAAACTAAATACTGACTAAATTATTATCTGAATTGGAACAAACTTGTAAAGTCAACCATGCAAACCAGATATAAAGGGAAAGTAGAGAATAAGAATTCTCATTTTGTAAAACCAATTAAAATTTAATCCCATTTTTCCATTCAATGACTAGATCCAGAGTTCACCCACTCAACAGCAACTCTAAATGTAAATAATGGCCTCAAGTTTACAAATGTGGTTGACTCATTTTACAGTCAGGCTTACAATAAATTTTCTACCTGAACAAATAACTGATAAACTGCATACCTTTCTTTCTTCTACAGTGTACCTCTTATTCTGTGTAGACATCCATTCAGGAAGTTCCCGATGTTGTGGAGTTGTTTCCAATGTTTGTTCACTCATTTCTAAAAGGTTCTAGTTGTAAAATCCAAAAAACAATTACTCTGTGAATACAGTCTTTGTAAGAAAACTCAGAGATAGACCTATCAATATGATTGAAGAACCAAATATACATATTTAAAGTAAGTTACAGCATCTAAGCCCAAGTATAGGATATAGGAGCTGGAATCGCAAAAGAAAAATACAGATGCAATATGCTGGCTCTAATAACCATAGGTTTAGTATTTCTTCTTTTTAAAATAAGCGAGCCAGTTTAACTGAGTTCTAAGGTTCTAACAGTTTTAAAACCCTATTATTATCTGACTTTGATCCTTTCAAAAAATAATCCTTATCTCATTTACAATGAGAATCCCTGGGTGTGTAAATTGCTATAAATTTTTGACATCTTTAATTTTCTCATCATCTTTCCTAAGAGCTGAGTAAACTCAGCAAGCTGTTCAATTTGTTCACAAGTCTACCTGAAGAGAATTCTGAGATGGATAAGCTTTTCTACATTAAGTTTTTTTATTACACTCTTGGCCTAACAAGTGAACCAGCTTCCCTAAGAATAAGAGTTTCATTGAGAATATTTTTTAAAAATCTGTTATGAGCTTTGAGGGCTCTCCTCATTGTAAACCAAATGTCAAGGATGGTGACAGAAAACACAATGAATGGGGTAATCCTGACATAGCCTCCCTGTTCGTGGTCAAACACTTCCACGCCCTCATGTGACTTAACATGCTGAACTGACATGGCCTTAAGTTCTTAAAAAAAATCCTTCAAACCCCAACCTCAGTTCCTGTTATCTCAAATTTCTAATTAAGGCACAAAAGTTCGGACAATACACCTGAATTTTTTTATGAATGAAACATGACATTACTATGAAATAGTTAAAGCAACTGTTTATGATTATGGGACAACTGTTATCCCTACTGATGTTGAGCGATACACACACTCTGAAGAAATTAAATATCCAGCAAGTATCCATTTTAGTTGCTCATTTTCCCAAGCTCAACCCCCCAAAACTGAGAATACTAATAACTTACGGAAGAAGTTTTTAAAAGATTACTTTAGCAAACTTAAATTGTCCATTCGGAACAAACTATTAGTCTTAAAACACTGGGAAGGAAAGGGTTAATAGCAGGCTAACTCACCCTCCCTCCGGGGGACCAGGAAGGAAGGACATCAACCAGGGATCCCAGCAAACACGCTAATCAACCTCAAACTGGGTAGTAGCCTTGTAAATTTATCAATCTTATCAGCAGAAAACTACCAAAGAGTACCTATCTAGAAAATGCTGTTAGCCAGATATAGCTAAACTGCCTGGATTGCTTATCATACACAAGCCTGGAATCATGGATCTATTAACTTTCGGCTGGAAAATGGCAGGTAGTCAGCAAGCTGTAATTAAGAGAATATGAAAGAGGAGTTCCAAAATGAAAACGACTTCCTGTGTGCAAAAACTTTTTTTGCACACATTGCTCAAAGCTTTTCTGCTAATCCAAAACTATAACATGTACTAATGCAGAAGAAAAGGACATTTCTGGAATCTGTGTGTAAGAGTTTGGGGTTCCTCCAAAAAAAAAAAGAATATTCCATCTGCACTTGGTGCGTGCCTGTATTCTTTGAATCACTGGCAAAGTTTGGCACTGGGGAAGATCTATGATTCACTGAACCAAAACTGACAACTCAAATCTTAGCGCTACCACCTGCATTATATGTAATAAGATAAAATATATAAAATATATATGCTGCATTCACTGTAAAGCATTTTACAAATGTTAATGGTTTTAAATTAAGTTTATATTTGCCACAAATCCAAAACCCTTCATGTAAGAGTCAAAAGTTGATCCCAAAGCATGTATATGTGTGTCTCTCTCTATATATTTTTTATATATATATATGTATATATATATACACACACACACACACACACACAACAAAAGAGAGTCTACTCTTAAAATATATTTTTATTAAACTGGAAAATAAGTTTTTGCTATATACAGAGTAGATCATTTACAAAACTGCCAGAAAATTGTTTTCTGCAAATAAACGACTCTATAAAAAACAACTATAAAATCTCAGAATTTTGTAAGTAATTCATTCACACTGCTAAAACAAAAGTAAAACTGAATAACTCTTCCCTACAGCTACCTATAACCACTAAAATCATTCTAATTTAAAATGTCTTAATTTTTAGATGTAAATACTCTTCTTCGCACACAAAATTTTGTCTGAATGCCTTCAGGCAAAGAATTTGAAAGTAAACTTGTTTACAAACCTAACATTTTTGTCAAATTTACTGATATCTTGGAACAGATAGAAAGCATTTAGAAAATTAAAGTAGCAGAGTGATGTGACGTAGGGAAATTCTTCAACATACATGAGGATTTTCATTGTTGATCAGATAAAGGTTATTCTTGGAAGGAATCCAAGTCAATGAATAACAGAATTTTTTATTTATATACTTAGCTGTTATGTTGTTGAGTATGAACAACTGTGACACATCTTTTTCTAAAATCAAGTCTTTTATCATTTCATAATGCCCCACGTTGTGCTGTTAAAGGATCTTAAATTCCTCTTTGAAATGAATAATGTATTTTGATTTGCTTTGGTTTAGACTTTCCTGGAATAATCTTGCCTATCTATCTGCCACTTTCCAACCTTTATCACTTTTTTAAAGGCTGGCTTTAAACAGCACACACCTGGAACTTCTGCTGTTTACTTTTCTGGTTTAAGTTTTGAATAGTCCAATTTGAACATGACTGTCTTTCAATAAGGAGATTCATTTCATTCACAGTCGGTATAAGAACTTGAGTTTTCCCTTTCATCTTACTTTGATTGGTATTTATCTTCTTTTCTTTAGCTTCCCCTAATTTTTTTCCATTTTTTTTTCTGACTGGAATGAAATTACCACTCATACTTTTTTCCCATTGTTAAAATTTCATTTTTTCCATCCTACCATCACTCTGGCACCTCAGCAAAATAATAAAACTATACCCCTTCCCCACCAAGACCTACATTTGCATCATTCCTCTGCGTAGGACAGCAAAACTCTTACAATGTTCTGACTTCCTCACCCTTCTAACTACTGTTTTCTACTGACATGGATTTGGTTATTAGCTTATTAGCTTTCTTAGTATTGCTCCTCTATTTCAAGAATGCTTACTATTTTCTAAACACTTGTGTTACAAATTTCATCGTCCATTTTAATATAAATGTTTATATAAATTTAAATATGCATGTAAATGTCTGTCTGTATTGCATACCACACTTTCCTCTTCCTTCACCTTGTCCTACCCTGAAATCTCTGATTTTTTTTCAAATAGGTTAAGAGAATAACGTGTTGCTGAGCATAACAGTTCCAGCCAACTGAGAATGCCTGTGGTTTGTAGGAGTCCTCTTATTGTCTCTGCCTTTTAATGATTCAAGTAAGAAGCCCATTGTTTTTGTTTTGTTTTTTTGCAGTCCCTCCATTTTATTTTTTTATTTATTTACTTTTAATTTTTTTTACATTTTAATATCTTTATTGTAGTCTTTTTTTGACATTTTTTATTGATTTATAATCATTTTACAATGTTGTGTCAAATTCCAGTGTTCAGCACAATTTTTCAGTCATTCATGGACATATACACACTCATTGTCACATTTTTTTCCTCTGTGATTTATCATAACATTTTGTGTATATTTCCCTGTGCTATACAGTGTAATCTTGTTTATCTATTCTACAATTTTGAAATCCCAGTCAATCCCTTCCCACCCTCTACCCCTCTGAAGCCCACTGTTTTTCAGATTTTTTTTTTAATTATGAGTAATCTTTTTCCCATCTGGAAGCCTGAAAGACTTTTAAGGATGCTTTTATTTTAAAGAGCCTAAGTGTACATTCTTTATTCTCCTTGGGATCAGTGAGTTCCTGGAAAGGACTCTTTTCCAAGTCCTTACTTAAGATCAGAAAATTTTCCCCTTGTTATGGGTTGAATTGTACCCCTTCCCCAAACAATGTATGTTAGAGTCCTAATCCCCAAGTACCTCAGAATGTGACTTTGTTTGGAGATGGAGTCATTACAGAGGTAGTCAAATTTAAATGAAGTCATTAGGGTGGTACCTAATCTAAAATGAGTGGTGTCCATATAAAAAGGAGAAATTTGCACACAGAGACAAGACATGCACAGATGGAAGGTGATATAAAGAAACACGGGGAGAAGAGTCATCTACAAGCCATTAAGGGAAGGCCTGAAACAGAATCTTCCTTCACAGCCCTCAGGGGGGTAAAAAAAAAAAAAAAAAAAACTGCTAATAATCTCATTTCAGACTTTTAGCCTCCAAAACTGTGAGACAATAAATTTCTGTTTAGACTTCCGGTTTGTGGTAGTTAATTATGGCAGCTATAGCAAATTAATATACCCCTATTACTTTAGTATTAGGGGTTTAGTTACTAATTGCCACAATCTATTCCTTTTTTCTTCAAAAGCACTTATTCACATTCTAATGAATTTCTTCTTGCCTGAATTTCTTCTCTGTCTCTATTTTCTCCTGTCTGATGACCACCTCTTTAATTTTGTTCTGTATTTCAAGAGACTTCTTCCACTTGATGTCTATGATGCTAATTTCATTCTCAACAGTGATAGTCCTTTTTCAGTTTGCCTACTGAATTTTCATGTTAAGATTGTGAACAAAAATACTGCAATGTGAGTGAAACTACTGCAAACATCAGTAAACAAAGAATGCTGAAACCAAGTCATCAGCGGCTGCCGCCACCCCCAGGGGGGACAGGCCTGCAGCCCGGCCTCTGCAGCCACTCACAAATGGTGCACTCTGAGCAGACTCAGAATAAGAAAGGACAGGATACTGGCCCTAGGTAGCTAGGTGCTTGTCAAAGGAATGAATTCAGTGAGCCCAAATGTTTGCTTCCTCCCATACACAGAAAAGCACTAAATTCTTTAACTTGAGATGCCTGGTTTTCTTTAGATAACAAGTAATCTTTTATTGTTCCAACTACCTGGTCTTTGTTGTAAAGCTCCTATATATCCTAGCTT